AAGCCACACAGAGACAGGGGCTTGGTGCTGAGGACGCCCCCTCCTCTGGGTGCAGCTTGGGTCGCAAGGCTTGGCTGTGTTTTTCCTGTCTCTCTCGCAGGGTTCGTCTCCTGCCCCGGGCCCACTCCTTCCCTCCCGAGTCTGTATGACCTGCTTCAGCGGCAAGTCGTAAATGAACCCCAAACACACCACCTTGACACCCCCCCCCCCCCCCACTCGGGGGCAGAAACACAGCATGAGGATTCTAACGTGACCGTGAGCCGCACCGTGACTTTGCCGAACGCGGTTACAGATCACCCCCGACCGGCTCACCCGGGCCCCGAGCGGGAGTCACTGGGAGTCGGGGGGGGGGGGGATTCCGGGGAAGAGACTAGAAACTGTCACCGTGCACTGGGGTTTGCTCTGTGGCAGGCTTGTCAAACACAAACCCCGGGGGCGAGGGACGGGGAGCGGGGTCCCTGGCGGACATTCTCCCGCTCTTCAGACGCTCGTGACAGGTCAGTTCTGTCCCCTGTAAGGTGACTCAGGGACTGACCGCCTGCCCCCCTGCGCGGTCCCCATGCGGTGGTCCAGACCATTGTCTGTGAAGTGGGCAAAGCAGGACCGGGAGAGAGTGGGTGCGCCCTGAGGCAGGACAGTGGGAGGAGAGAAGGGACGGGTGTCAGGAAGGGGGAGGGGGAGGGACACAGGCCTGACGGGGAAACTCCCCTCCTCCGAACTCATCTGTGTCCCTGTCTTGTCTCTTGCAGGAGGCTGGCCAGCCCTGAGGGCACGGGCTAAAGCAGCCTCAGTTTGCAATCCCCTAAACGAATTCCTTCCTCCCCGTAAAGGCACAGGGATGTCTGCTGAGTGGTGTTGGAAAATGACACTCTAACGTCTGTCGACAGTCCTTTGAAAAACACCTACAGACGATGAGGGGCCCTGGGAAATGATGGTGTTGGAGGTCAAGGGTTAGCGCTGAGCGAAGGCCCCCAGGTCTGCCCACCCCAGGGCGCGAGGATACGCGAAACGACTTGTAAAGGTCTAAGTAGTTCACCTGCTTCCTCACCTGAAGAAAAGATCATGTTCACTTGGTCACTTGGGAGCGAGTCCTGGGTCTGGCATCTGTACTGTCCGGAGTCACGGACCTCCAGGGTGTTGCCTGGGGTTTCGCGTAGCATTCTCCTCCCAAGGTACCAAAGGAACCGTTTTATTTTCTCTGGAGCGTGGAAGTGAAATACATTGCAGGTCAGGGTCACTGTCTCTCCTCTGAAGGCGACGGTCCATGGAGGACGGAGGGAAATCACGGGTTTGGCCGCAGCTTCTGAGGAAGAGAGAGACAGAGCCTGAGATGGGGACGCCTGTGGTCCCCGCCGCGGTCGTCTGTGTGGGACGGACCCGAGGACCAAGCTTCGGGGGATCCCCGGGAAAGCCCCCGTCGGGAGGAACACGGTTTGCCTAGGCTCGGCTTTCCTGGCTGCGTTCGCCTTTGCCAGGGGTGTGGTGGCCGCTCTGTGGTCTGTAGGGGCAGGCTGGCCTTCCAGGGGACGACCCCAGCCGGCCCCGCTCTCCGTGGAAGGGCAGCCATGCGGGCTGGGCCCTCGGTCGGTCCCTCCTGACTCCCTCCTGTTACAGCCATCTGTCTAAGAGGAGCCTTTGTGTGGCGTGGCCGCGTGGTGGGGTGGGGGCTGTCGACGGGGGCTTGGGGGGGGGAAGTGTAGGAATTTGGGGGTTGATTATGCAATTATGGAGAAGTTGTATTTTTACCGAAACACGAAGTGGGTGTGGGATAGTGATGCTCAGACAGAGGCACACAGAGCGTGAGTGCCAGGAGCCAGAAGCTTCTCACTCCCCAGACTCAAGGATCTGCTTCTTGACAGTGGAATATGGGCCTTGCATGAAATCAGGCCCTAAGATCTTTGGAACCCCGACGGACAGACAGGAGCTGGAGCGTGTGCAGTAAGAGTTGATTTCTCCCCGTTGAAAATCAGGGAAAAGACTTCTCTCTACCTTCCTTTTCTTTAAGAATTCCTTTCTAGCGTACGTGAATCTTTGGACACTTGCCAGTCTCACCACTGGGGAATGTCCTGCTCAGGAAGGAGCCATCGCCTTTTGGGATGTGGACAGCTAGGGGCAGAGACGTCTCCGTGCTCCAACACGCACAGCAGCCCCAGCCCCAGACTATGCAGACGTTCTTTCCTGGGGTGGCTAAAGGCCAGTTACCCCGCACAGTGGTCTTCCCAGGTACTGAGATAGAGCTCGGATGGACTGTGTGGGACAGAAGGCACCATCAGGGCCTTGTGCCTGACAAGTGACTATTTGGCCGTGGGACCTGTGTGCCGTGGGAGGAGGGGCTGCTCAGCTGAGTCAGGAGCCGAGATTCCCTGGTGCCCTGGTGACCTCCTAGCGGATGGCCTGAGATGCCCGTCGCACCCTGGTTTGACTTGTCTTCAACAGCAAGTGTTTTCTTTCTCTGCTACCTCTGTGGAGAAGATTTCTGGACTGGGAGAAAATTTTGCTTTTAATTACATTTCCCCAGCAACAAACTGCCACGGAGGCACTTCCCTCTCTAGGTGTTTATTTTCTGAGTTTCGTACCTTTGAGATTGGGAGGGCTGGTCACTGAAGCGGACCCAGAATACACCACCGTGGCCTGAAAAATTATGTTGAGCTGAGGGCATTTCAGAGTAGATTTCATATATATTTTTTATTCTGAACACCCTTACCTGCCTCCCAGAAGGACTCCGTTATAAATCGCCTCCCAGGAGTAACCAGGAGCAGTGGACTCTTACCAGCAAGGACTAAACAGACGTCACGAAACTACCCTAACGTGCCGTCTGCTCTCCAAAGGGCCGGGGTGTCTTTCCCGAAAGCCCTTCGTTTTCCAAGAAGTGTCCTCCTCCCTGGCCCCTTTCCCTGCTCAGACGGTATCTGAGCCCCAAGTCCCAACCGCCTCCCGGGCTCGCAGTTTCTGTGCGCCCTGGTAAGAAGGGAATACAAATCTTTCTCCTGCGAATCTGTCTTTTGTCTGTTTAATTGGCAGTCCCCAGTGAGACACTTAAGGGGAAAGCGATGTTTTTCTTCCCTGAGATGCTACTCACCATTGGAAACCTCCACCCACGCTCCCTTCCCCTTCGTGGCCTGCTGCCTGGGCCAGCAGTTTGTTGGGCTAACCTCTCGGTGTTAGGAAGTACAATTGCAAAGTGACCTCTCGCATTCTGCCTGAGATGCAGGAATTCATGACTTTGGGGACAGTTACCAGCCAGTACTGGGTCAGGAGATGTCAGGGGAATAGAGCCAGGAGAGGACCCCCCCACCCCCACCCCCTGCCCCCAGTGGGGGGCGCTGGGAGTGGTCTTGCCTCTATGGTGAAGGAGCCAAGCTTCCTGGGGGGTTGGGGGGTGGGGAGAGCTCTCATGCGGTTTTGGTTACCTCCCTCCTCCCCCAACTTCCTGTCGTGCTGCCTGAAGCTGGGGCCCCTACCACGTTTAACAAATCAATATGAGACTGGAGCTTTGTTCTGCAGAATTGCCTGTGGTAATCTAAATCCGGTGAAGTAGAAAATAAACCAGATTATTTCCATGTGCAATATTCCATTTTCCAAAACTAAAATCTCAATCACGCGGGCATGCAATTTATCGTAAAATCTTAAAGTGGAATCACCGTAGGCGTGCTTTTTCGTTAATGCCTTTACGCTCACATGAGGACTGTCCACATTTAAGGGCGGCTGGAGACTTTAAACATTCTTACCCCTTTGTCTGCAAGAACACCCAAATAGATCTTTTAGTTACACCCGAATGTAAAGGGGATGCTCTCCCTGTGTTGGGGGCAAAGTTATAGAGTAATGGGAATGCTTGTTTTAGATGAAAAAGCTGCTGTTCTGTTTGGTGATGCAAACGTTCTTGTGTCTCCACAGACTTTTTCTGTCTCTCTTTAGAGGACCGTACAGATTATTCCATGTCCGCAGTGACCATGGATAGAAACCCCTACTGTCCGTGTTCCTGGGAAGCATCTGGGATGGGAAGGGGGGACTGGGAGGCGGGTCTTGGACCCGAGGGAAGGGAAACCTTCCGCTGGGCTGGCGTGTGCAGCTTGTTTCTCACTGGTCCGCGGAAGCTGTCCCCTGCTGTGTGCTCAGAGAAGACGCACCTTGTCGGGGTCTCATGAGGTTTGGACTGAGTCAGTGAGCTTAACCACATCTAGTGGCTGATCTGAGATACTTGGTGTATTTTCTTCTCCATCCTAGAGCATTTAGCAAAGTCTGGCCAAGTGACAATCTCTTCCCAGTTAGGCAGGGTTTTGTGGGAGATGGTCCGTGTCCCCTGACCGAGGGGGACGGCCACAGACCCAGGAACTGCAGGGGGCAGTGTACATGAGGGGGCCGTGGCTCCTGCTGGCTGGGGCCGGATGACAGCAACCGGCCCCCCAGGATGAACTCAGTGGTCCTGAAGGGATTTTCGGGGGTTACCAGAACACCTGGAGACAGCTCCCCCAAAGCCTGGTCTTCCTGCGGACCAGCAGGGCGGGGGCTCAGAGGCAACACGATCTGAGCCGTTACCAGGAAAACATCTACACAGCCTGCTGGACTTTGGGGTGGAGAGCTTGCTCATGGTAGGGGTGGTGCTGTGTTGGGCCAGGAAAGGTGAAGAGGCAGAGATGTTTGCATCCTGGGTGCCCCTCACCAAGGTCTCAACCTACCTCTCACCTTTCCTCCCAGGCTTCTGTGCACCTGTCAGGGCGGCCAGCACCCCACATCAGGTGCGGGCACGCCCCTCCTTGACCTCTGTGACATGCGCCCCAGCCCTCCCCCTCCATTCATCTGACACAATGGCAGGTATGACCTGAGAGCATGACTCTCTGGCTCATCGGGTCAGAGTCATAGGACAGGGTGACGTTGCCCTGCCTGTGTCCTCAGGATGGGGATGCGGGGACCAGGTCTCCCCTTAAGAGCACTCCAGACGGAGGCCGGTCACTAGAATATCTAGAAATGGAAAAGAGGAAAGAAAGAGGGGACCTACTTACCAAGCTGTCCACAGACTGGAGCTGTAAAGAGAGGTGAGGGTGAAGGTCAATGCGAGGCTGGAGCTGAACCCTCCCACCCAGAGAGCCCCCTGCCAGGGCCCCACTCCAACGAGGGCGGGAGAGGCGTGCCCAGCCCCACCACCCGAAGGAGTCAGGGGACACCGTGGCGGCCAGAGCGCAGGTGGAAGAAGGCCTGGACCTCAGCGGTGCGATGCTGGGCGAGCTGCGGAAGCCCAAGCCTCCCCTTCCTCATCGGCAACACCGGGACCATAAAGGTGACCTCGTGGTCTTGTTTCAGTGGGTGAAATTAGTAAGTCTTCCATTACTGGCTGCTGTCACTGTCCTTTAAACGTGAGCCTGGCGGGGCGCCCGGGTGGCGAAGCCTCCAGCTTCGGCACAGGTCATGATCTCAGGGTTTGTGGGTTCGAGCCCCGCGTGGGGCTCTGTGCTGACTGTGCAGAACCCGCTTCAGATCCCCCGTCTCCCTCTCTCTCTGCCCCTCCCCTGCTCCTCCTCTCTATCAAAAATAAATAAACCTTTAAAAAAATACATAAACAGGAGCCTGGTGTGGCTGCTGCTCAGACCTGGCTTCACCATCTCCTTGCCTGGGGGCTCTTCCCTTCGGTATCAAGAAAAGGCAGGTCATACCCTGATGAAATCTAACTCCCCCTTGAAGCCTTCTCGGATGCCTCTGGGCTGCAGGGTCCTCACTCTGCTCTAGGCTCTAGTGAGCCATCACAGCTCGCTGAGACTGGAAATCAATATGCGGTGCGGCTAACGCGGCTAACAGCACGGTTCCTGCGAGTGTGGACTTGACCCCTGACGGCCGCTGTATGGAGCTTAAGGGCGAGAGACCGTCTCTGCGCCTTGGCTCCCGTATCGGCAAGGTGGGATTTATCACAGTTCCAGCTCACGGACTGCTAGGAGCTTGGAGTAGACTCACACTTGGGGTATTGTTAGAAAAGTATCTGGCGTGGTCGGGGCTCAGCAATTAATTACCAATTGCCATCAGCGAGAATTAATGACTGTCACCACACATTCTCTCAGGAGTCATCGTGGAATATTTTTGTGGTCTGTTTTCAAGCCAAATGCCTTTGCATTTGTACTTTGAGTTCCTCACCAGAGTGCCGGCTCTTGGGGACAGAGACCGTGTCCTCTGTGTCCTGTGTTCTCCCCCGTGCCCACGATACCCCCTCGTTCACTGTTTACCAAGTTCCCGTGATGTGCCAGCCTCACTGATCGCTCTGCCCCTAGTTAGGGTCTGGAGAAGCAGCTAGGAACAAGAAATGAGCTTAATACATATTTAGTGTACAAGTGACCGACTGGTCATTTGTATTGGCTTGTGCTGCTAGGACATTAATGCCTCACTTGGACCAATATTGAAAAATAGTACAGAGGTGGAGTGGGTGGGGGGGAGAATCCAAGGGAAATCATCTTATTTCCTGTCTTGCAAATATCAGAGCAGGGCATGACTGTAAGATTCAGAGAAGGAAATAACTGTCTCAGTAGAAACTCATTTCTTTCTTTCTTTTTTATTAATTTTTTAAATGTTTGTTTATTTTTGAGAGAGAGAGAGCCCACGAGCAAGGGAGGGGCAGAGAGAGAGGGAGACACCGAATCCGAAGCAGGCTGCAGGCTCTGAGCTGTCAGCACAGAGCCCAATGTGGGGCTCGAACCCATGAACCGCGAGATCATGACCGGAGCCGAAGCCGGAGGCTTAACCGACTGAGCCACCCAGGCCCCCCGGCAGAAACTCATTTCTATGTCGGCTCACATTTAGGACACGTTCCCTTCGCACGGATTTAGGGCCTCTGTGATCAGGGAGGTAACTGAATCTAACCTTGGATATTTTACGTGGCAAAATAGGCCCACGTCGGGAGTAGGAGGAAATTTTTTGTAGGCAATTAAAAGCAAGCGATGAACACACTTTTGGAAATCATTCCCCAACCCCCCCCCCCATACCGTTTGATCAACATCTCACCTCTCGTTCATTTCCTACTATTTTGAAATAGGAGTGGAACCCATTTGTTCAGCAGCCCAGAGGGGTGGGGGGCTTTTGCTCGCGGAGAGGTTCGGGTTCCCCCGAGAGCAGAGGCTTCTGCTCGCCCACTTACCCAGGACCAGCAGAGATGCCCACAGGAGCATCGGCGCGTGCTCTGGGATGCTCTGGGACGGACGGATTGGCCGGTCCCGGCACTGGGCAGTGAGTAGAGCAAGGTGCCTCTGAGTGTGGCCGGCTGTGATAGCGAAGTGAAAAGAGGAAGTACAGGAATGTTTCTTAAAATACCAGCAGCACGTTACCCAGGGCCAGAGACTCTCAGTGATGACAGTCACTGTCTAGCAGAATAAGTACCGCTCCGACTTCGTGGTGTGAACGGCGCCTCAAAGCTTTCGTTGTCTTAGTCTCAGAAGCTTCCAGCCACTGCCTTCCAGGGAACCTGCAACACGTGCTCTCTCTGCTGCCAGAGACCAGGCAAGACTGCAGACCTGCTGTGAATCACATAATCCAGGGACGTCCTCGAATCGGTCCGGAGCAGGAGAGGTTCTCCTTTGAGGCCGAAATGCGCTTCTCTGACCTCAGGGGCCTCCGCCGGACCACCTCTGGTCGAGCATCCATATGTGACGAAGCATCTAAATCATAAGACAGCTTGCGCTCCGTCCGACACATATGAAAATAGCCTGACTCATTTTCTCACAGGAAGCTACCAACTTTGATCTGATTAGCAGGTGGACGGCAGAATCAGTTATAGGCCCATCTCGCTCTTCCTGGAGAATGCACTGCCAAACTTTCCGTTGAGGGTCCTGGAAGCTAGAGTTTGTTTACAGGAATGTCCTGACGAATGCACACGGATTCTCTAGCTGTAACTTACATGGGGGGCCGGGTGCTGGGAGTCCAGGGGTAAGCAAGGGTCAGTATGCTTTCATGGGAAGGGGGCAGGCACAGAAGAGCCAGCGAAGGGCTCAGTACAGAGTGAAAAGCGCTGTGAGGGTCCAAAAGGAGGGAAATCTAACCCAGGGCTGGGGAACCAGGAGAGGATTCTCAGGGGAAGTAACAGCCAAGTTGAGGTGTCTTTCCAGGACTGAGCAGTGAGAATGGACCAAGGTGGAGGGCACTCACCATCACCATCATCTTCACCCCCAAGACATCTGTGACTCGGTGACCCTTGATCCTCCTGTGAGTGGCAGATATCAGACAGAGGACGAAGTATGAGTGATCTGCATTGCTGTAGCACAACATTCCATGTGCCTACAACAGCTCCTTTCTCTAACTTGGGCTTGTACTGAACACCACTCGTGCTCCGGGCGATGTCCGTGAACTTGGAAGTATAAAAAGATGAATAAAAGACACTTCTTTTAATGTTTTTATTTATTTTTGATACAGAGGGAGACAGAGCATGAGCAGGGGAGGGGCAGAGAGAGAGAGGGAGACACAGAATCGGAAACAGGCTCCAGGCTCTGAGCTGTCATCACAGAGCCCGACATGGGGCTTGAACTCACAGACGGTGAGATCGTGACCTGAGCCGAAGTCGGACGCTTAACCGCCTGAGCCACCCAGGGGCCCCGTGAACACACAGATCTTTTTGCTCGAAAACTGGGCCAAATTAGAACAGAATCACAGCTCCTTAGTGCACCCTATTCCAGACTCGCACCCACACTGATGTGGGAGAGCGTGTGGAACAGATTCTGGATTTGTAGCCTGAGGCCCAGCTGTGGATTTGCTCTGTCACTTGCACAGGTCAAGGCAGATCCACTTTGCTACTTTGAGTTTTTTTTTTTAACAAAACCCTATTTTTTCCCTACGTTAAAGTTTTTTTTTTTTAATTTTCAAATTTTATATATTTAAAAAATCTAAGTTCAAATTCATTAACATACGTAGTATCAGCTTCAGGAGTAGAACCCGGTGATTTATCACTTCCATGCAACGCCCAGTGCTCATCCGAACAAGTGTCCTCCGGAATGCCCATCCCCCACCCCGCCCATCCCCCCACCCCCACCCCTCCAGCAACCCTTGGTTTGTTCTCTATCCTACATTTTTTTTTTTTAATTAAAACTTTTAGAAAAATGGCAAGAGCAAGACAATAAATATCTGTGTGTTCTTCACCTAGATTTGGCAATTGTTCACATTTTGTAACATTTGCTTATCTTTTTCGGAGGGATGGCCAAGGTGGCACTGTTTGCAGGCTGTGGAAGAAGGCTGCACGCGGGGGGCTCGCCCACATGTATTGTGCTGCAAGATGGAGCTGGGGGCGGGGGACAAGGAGGACCCTGCGGGCTTGGGGCCAGCGGCCAGGAGCTTACTTTCCTTACGTTGTCACGTTCTGCAGGGAATCCAAAGGATCCAAGAATTTTATATTTGAACCTAAACTAGCCGGTCATAATACAGCTTGATTTGTCACTGATTTCGTTTATAGGTAGCACGGGGGTCAGAATGAGTGGCCCCAAGGTGTGCCACTTTGGCATGCAGATTTTTTCCAACTGAAAACAGTCAAAGCCCTAAAGACTCCGAAAGAAACTCTGATACCCTCCCCTCCTAAGAATTTAGACGGAGGACCTGCCCCAAGAAGAGAAGCATCACCATCGAGAACCATAGAATAATACGAACTAGACTGGTAGAAGCAGCTGAGCGAAGCCTGTGTTAGAATTCCTCCCTTCGGGGGCGCCTGGGTGGCGCAGTCGGTGAAGCGTCCGACTTCAGCCAGGTCACGATCTCGCGATCTCGCGATCTCGCGGGATCTCGTGATCTCGCGGTCCGTGAGTTCGAGCCCCGCGTCGGGCTCTGGGCTGATGGCTCGGAGCCTGGAGCCTGTTTCCGATTCTGTGTCTCCCTCTCTCTCTGCCCCTCCCCCCGTTCATGCTCTGTCTCTCTCTGTCCCAAAAATAAATAAAAAACGTTGAAAAAAAATTTTTAAAAAGAATTCCTCCCTTCGTCCCATGGCTGCCGGCGGCCCCCAGGCATTTGTTTATCCGACATTGACTTTTCCATATTCCTGTTCATGGTTTTCCTTCCCTCTGAAGCCCAGCTCTTAGTTCACCTTAGCTCAGAATGACGTAAATACCTCATTTTGCCCAACGTCTTTGGGATCTCCTTTATGTGGATTCCCCGTATGGATGTCCTTAAAGTGTATTGTCTCTCATTAATCTGTCTCATGTCATTTCAATTCTTAGACCAGTCAGAAGAATCTTGAAGGGTGGATAAGAATTTTTCCTCTCCAACAGCAGAAACCATTTTTTTTTTTTTTTTTACTATTTCACCTCCGTTGACTAAAACATTTTGAAAAAAAAAATCAGCAAAATAAAAATTGTTTTAAACTGTAACTTTTAGTCCAATTTTGTGATTTCCCAAACCAAAATCACTGGAGGTCAATATGTTAGAGAATTTAAAATTTAGATGCGTATGTTGTACGTCTGAAATTAGTGTAACATTGAGTGTCAACTATAATTGAATGAATGAATGAATGAATAAAATAAAAAACAAAACTTAGATACTATAGGGGCCGAGGGCAGGCTGTTCCAAGGTAGGCCACTCTAGCATAAAGGTTATTCTGAGCAGAAGGCAATCAAGACCCTACAGGCTCAAGAGAAACTTTCCTCCCTTAACCACACAGAAGACTCTAAACTGGGGTCTTTCCCAGAATAAGGGTTATGAGCAGAGATAAATTCGATCTGAGTGACCCATCTGTATGGCAGGGCAAACATCTAATTACCAAACATCTGTTCTCCGTGTCGCCCTGTGAACTACTTGCCTCCCCTCGGAAGTCCCAGACCCCTGCCCCCTTCTCCTTAGTTCAGGGTGACGTACTGACCTCATTTTGCCCGACTGTCTTCGGAATTTCCGTGTCTGCGTGGATTCCCCATATAAACGCTATTAGATTTGATTTTCCCCTGTGAATCTGTTTCACAGGGGAAATCCTTGCTCCCTGATAACACCAAAGTAAAACCACCCATCCACTGGCAAACAACATTAAACTGCATTTGGCTTCCAAATTTCATCTGTGACTACCCGTTTTTAGCTGGAACTGCACATCACCAAGACCTCAACAGAGGGAAGGATTTGGAGAGGCATGATTTAAAAAATGACACTGGAGGGGTGCCTGGGTGGCTCATTTGGTTAAGCGTCTGACTTTGGCTCAGGTCATGATCTTGCTGTTCATGAGTTCGAGCCCCGCATCACTTCAGATCCTTTTAAACATTAAAAACATTGCACGGAGGGTGTTCTCTACCTTATGGGAATGGGGCAAGTTCACATTTTACCGATTTACTCTGGTTTAATTGTTTCTCATAGATTGGTGTCCCTGGCATCTATTTTATTCTGACTCAGCCTATTTTAAGCAGTGTGAAATCAAAGCCTGTGGGGTCTGGCATTTTACAAGTGTGGTGTCAGCGCTGACCAATGTCGGAACAGATCTACGTTCTGTTGGCTATGTTTGCCTGGGCTGTACCCAACTTTTCAGGACTTACAGCAGATTGCAAAAATGGCCACAAATTCTTCCCTTCCCTGCATGAATGATCTTATAATGTGACTTTGCCGCTCCTCTCACGAAGAGGGAATCTGCTTCTGTACGTCTTTAATGTGGTCTCGCCTTGTGACTTGTTTTGGCCAATAGAAGGGGCAGCTGTGCAAGTTGCAGATGTTTATCTCAAGAGGCTTTGTAGGATCTGCCTTCACAATAGCTGCCATGGGACCGAGCCTGGACCAGTTTGCTGAGGATAAAAGACCATGGGAGAGGACCCCACGATCCCAGCCACCCCAAGTCAGGCCATCACAAACCAGACAGCCCAAAGCCATCCTTCTGCTGACATCAGAGAATCCAGACAAATCAGCCCAGCACTGCCCAGGCGATAAGAACTGTCTAACTGAATCCGGCCCATGCCGCCCAAGTGCAAAATCCCAAGATAAATAGAAGTTCCAGGGTGGTTCGTTATATAGGATTAGTATCTTACATAGGATTAGTATCTGATAGGACTTATCTCAGTACACTGTAGGTGCCATGACCAAAGTCCCATCTTAATTTTAATGATGTTGAAATGAATACAGTTATTCCAAGTGGTGTTATTTATACTTATAATCTTACAAGTTGCCATAGAAAAATGCCATGAATTAATTCAAATTTTCATATGCTTAGCCTTTCAGTTCCAACCATATGTTCAACTTCCTGAACATCAGCCTCAGCTTGATTCTCTTCAGGAAACGTAATATTTTTTGCCCTCAGGAGACATTCTTCTATAGATTTGCCCTCTATGAAGGTGTTTGTGCTTGGGAAACTTCTTGGTTTTTATTAAACACATAGCAGCCTTCTCTAGTGGCCAATATTGAATTGAAGAACACGAAAAAGAAGCCCTGTTTCAAGTTCAGTTGTGTTTCTTAGTTCATTCTGTTCTTCAGCACAAGCCTGCCATCATTCTTACTGTAACTAATTTCATAATAGTATCTTTATTTGTATTTCATTGACAAAGGGACACTTTATTTGCATATTTATTTAGGACTTTTTTTTTTTTTTTTTTTTTTTTTTACTTTCAGAAAGAAATGATCTCTTTTATTCTTGAAACTCCGAGTTCTCGGGGCGCCTGGGTGGCGCAGTCGGTTAAGCGTCCGACTTCAGCCAGGTCACGATCTCGCGGTCCGTGAGTTCGAGCCCCGCGTCAGGCTCTGGGCTGATGGCTCAGAGCCTGGAACCTGTTTCCGATTCTGTGTCTCCCTCTCTCTCTGCCCCTCCCCCGTTCATGCTCTGTCTCTCTCTGTCCCAAAAATAAATAAATGTTGAAAAAAAAATTTTTAAAAAAAAGAAACTCCGAGTTCTCATTCTCTCTTTTGTTTCCCCACTTTTGGTAGAGACATGGGTAAAAAGCCACTCTTCTCTTAAATCTACTGGAAGTAAAATAATCGGATATTTGAAAGAATAAATGGCAGCTTGTCACCCAGCTGCAGATTCAGGGAGACGACAGACACTGCTAGGGACTGTGGTCGATTGGATTGTACCCCCTGCATTTGAAAGCAGCCGGATATTCAACGACAGTATCCTTACCAAGCCTGAAGATCTGTTGTTAGCTGATTTTCCAATTTTTTAAGAGAAGCCCCAAATACAGATTGTTGTGTGAAATCTCCTGACCGCCTAACTGCAACTAATTTAAACAATAAATGCCAGGTGGGTCGACAACACGAACCAGAGGAATATGTGTGCGGTGAGATTTTATATATTCCCCCCCCTCCCCAGGGTCAACACATAGTATGGAGCACAGTGGCCTAAACACAGACCAGGTAAGCGAATGAACGGGTGGATGACAGAACCGTATTCTTCAAAAGGGCACGAAATAGGAAAGGGCCACCCTGTCACTGTCCTGCCCTAGGCTCTGTATCAGC